CCGAGTGCACTCGTGCGACTCGTTGAGTCCCATCGTTTCTCAGTAACCTCAGGAAGGTCCAGCTCGTCGAGTTAACCCCTAACTCGTCGAGTTAGAGCGCGATTCAACTCATCGGGACAAACCCTAAGCTACTCGCCGAGTCGGCTCATCAACTCGGCGAGTCTATTAAGACTCAACTTGCATTCAGACGATTTTAAGGCAGAACATTTCCTCAAACTCCAGATCCACATTCTCAGGGCTCAAATATCACGTAAAGTCATAGACTTTATGTCCATGCATGGCATTTTGGGCAAGAAATGCCAAGATCATGCCTTAACAAAGGTTTTTCTCACAAGGACTTTACCAAATCAGAATAAAGCTTGAACCTTTAGATGTTAAGGGTCTCCTACAGTCCAGATCTGGAGTTCAAGCTTCCTCATGAACCCCAAACCTTTCAAGTCCCAAAATATACACAAAAAGGAGCCCTAATCTCCCAAAAATGTCATCTACTTAATCAGAAGGAAAGGTTCGAACTTGATACCTTTAACAGAAGCTCCTGGACGAGTATTAGCAGATCCAATGCCCCTCCTTTACTCCTTGCTTGAAAACTCTCTTCTCCCTTCCACAAATGCACCAAAGATCTCAAAGTTAGCTGTCTCTCTCTCTCTCACTCTATGAGCTCCAAGTTCGTTTAGGGTTTCTCAGGGAAGTGTGGCCGCCAAAGGGAGGCTATAAGTGCCTTTATATAGGCCACATGCCCGCTAAATTAGGGTTTCCCTCAACAGTGTTGACTCCGCGAGTCGGCTCACAGACTCGTTGAGTCCATTCATTAAAATACGTCTCAAGTCACGACCCTACTCGACGAGTTGAGGCGTCAACTCGTCGAGTCTCTCCAAGATTCTCAAATTAAATAATGAAAATAATATACCTGGAAAACCGGATGTTACAATGTGCAAGCGAGGGAGCTTTCCCTGTCCACATCTCATGAGGTGTTTTGGAAACTTCTTTGTTGGAACAAGATTCACGATACAGGAGGTTGTCTCTAAGGCATACCCCCATAATTGAATAGGAAGAAAAGCTCGACTCATCATGGAACGAACCATATCCAGTAAGGTTTGATTACGCCTCTCAGCCACACCATTAAGTTGTGGTGTTCTGGAAGGAGTCAATTGTGAAACAATTCTACATTCCTTAAGATGGTCGTGGAACTCGATACTAAGATACTCACCACCTCTGTCAGATCCGAGCATCTTTATCTTATTGTCTAATTCGACCTCGTGCTTAAACTCTTTGAACTTTCAAAGGTTTTCGATTTATGTTTGAATAAGTAGATATAACCATATCTGCTATAATCATTTGTAAACGTCACGTAGTATCGATTAGCATCTCTTGTGGTGGATCTAAAAGGGCCACACACATCCATATGGGTTAGGTCCAACAATCATTCACCACTTTCACATGTTCCAGTGAAATGTGATTATGTCATTTTGCCCAAGAGACAAGATTCGCATTCATCATCTGTCCTAAGATCAAATAATTACAACACTCCATCCTTTTGGAGTTGGGCGATGTGTTTCTTGTTTATGTGCCCAAGACGACAATGCCACAAACATGATTTGTGCACACCATTGGACGAATCAATATGAAACACACTATTGCCTAGGTTATCAACACAAGTCACAGTTTCATACACACCATTACAAGGTAAAGCTTCAAAAATAAAAAGACCATTGTGATAACCAGAAATAGAACCAACTTCATTATCTAATGAATATCTAAAACCTTGTCTGAATAGTGCATGAAATGAAATAATGTTCCGCGTCATATATGACGAATAACAATAATTAATCAAATTAACCCTAACATCACTACTAACCGCAAGCCCATATGTTCCAATATTGGTAACAGGTGAAGATCGCCTATTCTCCATGATAAGAATGAGATTCCCATGCTCCACCTCCTCACTTTCGCTTAGCCCCTGCAAATCAGAACAAATGTGGAAACCACATCCTGTGTCAAGGACCCAAGAATGAGAAAATTGTGTGTTATTAACTTGAATAGTGTAAATACCTGAAGAGGATGCCTTGATCTTGCCATCCTTCAAGTCCTGCAGATACGTAGGGCAGCTTCTTCTCCAATGGCCCTTTTCACCACAACGGAAGCAAGTGGCCTCCTTTGGATCACTGACCGTAGGTACATCAAAGTTGGGCTTCGACTTTGACCCACCGCTAGACCCTCCAGCATGGGCCTTCCTTTTCCTATCAGATTGGGAATGAGCCTTCCTTTTTTCCCTTTGCTAGATCTAACGGCCAGGACAAGAGCATTTGTTGTAGTAGAGGCATGATTTTTCTTCATCCCCGATTCAGCAGTGTGCAACAAATTATGGAGCTCAGTCAATGTTGTCTCCGTGTTGTTCAAATGACAAGTCAGAACAAACTGATCATAACTAGGAGGTAATGAGTTAAGGACCATGTCAATGGCCAACTCATCATCAAACGACACATTGAGCCTATGGAGTTGCTCCACGTACCTTTACATCTTTTGTACGTGAGGTAAAGCAAATTATCCTTCCTTGAGCTCGCATGCCATGAAAGCTTTGACCACTTCGAAACACTCTTGTCTTGCCTTATTGTGGAACTTTATAACAAGGTCGAGATCCATCTCGTATGGCCAATATTCTTCATAGAACTTGGCCAGTTCTGATGCCATAGTGGTCACCATGATGCAAGCAACCTTTGTGCATCATCAGAGTGTTTGTTGTATGAGGCCATTTCCTCATGACTGGCAGTGGAATGATCAATCTCGACAAGAGGTTTTTCGAAGACATATTCATTGCCCTAATATCGAAGAGTCATCTTCAAGTTCCTCATCCATGTAGTTGGGACCGATGAGCTTCTCTTTCGACAAGTTCGAGAGTAGAGAGAAATTAGAGTTGGAGGAGCCGACTTGAGTAGTAGCAAGATCATCGTTTCCAGACATCTATAAAAGGAGACATAGTTTTTAGTTAGTGATATAAATCCTTAATATTTAAACCCAAAATAAATATTCAAGGCTAGGATCCAAAATACAATTCACAATAAAGAACAGGGTTGTCGTAATCTAATTGTGAATTTATCAAGGTAGGTAATACAAATTTACCAATTTCAATCTAACACGAAACTCCTAGATCATTTGATATTCGTTGAATCTTATCAATGACATGTTTAATCTCAGCTTATGTTCTTCAAATTTATGACTGGGATGCCGAGGATCACAAATAAGATGTGAATAACCATGCAAACCCGCTTGACAACATCGATGTCATTTAGCATCTCAAATTAATGTGCCAGTAAGTCACACACACTCCATTAACAATGATAATTTTCGATTTGTCCATCACTCAACTTTATAGTCTCAAATTAGTGTGTCGGTTAACCACGACGCTCCACTAACGACATATAAAGAGTGACGTGTGTTTTCATAGACTAGCATATACTTCACATTTTTGTCCTAAAGTAACTAGAGTTGGGATTTATTCAAAAGGTTATAGTACTTTAATAGCATCATACTTTTAAGAGGTTATGTCCTATCAAATCCGTTCGGCTAACGACCCTCCACCATACAAGGGAGCGGTGGGTGAGAGTGGACACCAATTCAATGGTCATTTTATAGGCCGCTTCCTTATAACCCCCCCCCCCGGGTCTTAGAATATGGCTTCGTGAATGAGGCGTACTGGTGATTTGACTGACTCTTTTTATACATATAATATATGAAAATTTTAATAAATTATATAGTATAATGTGTATTTTAAAACTTTTTCAAAAGACTAGTGTTTAAAATTAATATTTTGAAATTAAACAATTAATAATAATTAATTTAAAACTAAATAATGATTTAATCTTTTATCTTAATTAAACAATAAATTAAATAAATTTAAATCATATTATTTACCAATTTACCAATTAATTAAATAATATAAACACATGGATTAAATAATTATTTACCAATTAAATAATTCAAATTTAATCTTAATCCCTTATCGTTCTAATTTTCGAAAAAGGGTGGGGTTTATCAGGTTTTTAATTATTCAAATTTTAAATCATATTAAAATAATAATTAGGGAAACTAGAAACCCTAGGGATAAACATATAATTTTCGAAAATAAAGGATGGTGGCTAGGGTTTCAGAAAACCCTAGCCAAGTCGAATAGAAAACGTAGGCTCTGATACCACTGATGGATTTTTAGGTCTTAAAATTTTACATGTGGCGGAAAAACACTTAAACCCTTAAGTTCACATGCAACCTAGAAATGATCTATATTTTCTCTATTGATAGCAACTAACTATGAATATCAAGAAACCATATGAGAGAGGCTATGAAATCGAAATTCACTTCAAATTAGGGATACATACATTTTGATTATTGTTGCAAATAATCAAAGTAAAATCCTTCTTCAAAATCTTGGAAAGCTAGCACCAAAGGAATGGATGCCTCTAATTGCTTGTACCCAAAACCTTAGTAACAAGAAGACTTTAGGAGAGAAGAGGTTTGAGCAAAATTTTGGCTCTATGAAGGCTGGAAGGAGTGGACAAAAATAATAAGAGCCAATGAAGGTTTTATATAGCTGAAGGAAACTTGAGCCCAAAGCTAGGGTTTTTGGATAAGGCTCAGATTAATTAATATAATAATCAAGCTGCATTATCTCCTTATCCTAAGCCTCATGAACGAAAATGCTAGGTTATTCCTAGCCAAATTTAGTTCACCCCATCCCATGGGGTTCTAGAGTTTTCATGTTTCGGTCAACAACGGGCTTGGCGGTCTTGGCGCTCTTGACGGTCAACGAAAGTCAAAATAAGTCAAAGGTCAAAGTTCGGTCAAAATTAAAAAAAAAGGCTCCAAAAAAGTTCCAAAAAACTCGTCTAACCCTAAAATCGTCATATTCATCAGCCGTTTTTGTGCCCTCTCTCAAAAATTGAAGCGACGCAAGCCTACCCCGACGATACAACTGATGCCGACGCCCACCGTACTCCGACAAACCTCCAATGGCCACCGGTGAACCTCCAGGGACAGCGGCGTTCGTATTTCAGGTTAGCAATTTCTCTTAACCCAAGTTCGTTTTTCTCCCCTAAAAAAAGTCGAGTTCTTGTTTGTTCATTGAAAGTCCACTTCCGATAATGTTATACAATTGATTTGTTCTTTCGTTTTAGAATCTTGTTTAGAATTGATTTCATTTGTTAATTCTTGAAAGTTGAAACAATATTCGAATTTGTAAACAGTGGCCGGCCGTGTGGGTTTATGTAGCACATGTAAAAGCCAATATTCATGGCTTCCTTTTTTCTGTTAAACACGAGACACAAGTGTATGCCATAAATTTCCTTTTTTTTATTATTTTCTTAGTAATTTATTATAAATATATTAGAAACAAGGTTTGTGTTGTGTTGAAATATAATTTGAATCTGTCATTTGGAAAGATAACAAAGGACTAATATGTTAACTGTTGATGTGCTGAATATAGTTTCCATAGTTTCCACAAACTTACAAAGAAAGAAAATATATTCTCAAAGAAGCCTACATGTTTCTTCAAGATTACAGCTAAACATTAGCTTGACATTTTTGCTGTGATATTTTGATGTCTGCTGAAAATTTATGATTTATGTTGTATATTTCTGATGTATTTTTTTGGTATGTATAACAGTGTTCAATCATGACATCTAAAAATTCGACTTCACCATCGGTGGGATCAACCGCCATCGGTTCTCATTTGAAAAAGATTGTAATGAGGATTCTTTCTTTAACTAGTAGCTCATCGGGTTGTGAAAGAAATTGGAGCACGTTTGAAGCGGTTAGTTATAAAGTTGTAATATTTAAATATCAAGAATGTTTTTAACCTTTTGTTATGTGTAATTTTATAGGTACATACGAAGAAACGAAATAGATTGGAGACAAATAGATTGAACAATCTTGTTTATGTTCAATTCAATGCTAATCTAACGAAATAGATAGGACTTTGGAAGTGCTTTTAGCAAATGATTCTCACTCGGCTCAAGAATGGATTATAGATGGAGATGACGGTGATGGAGATGAAGTTGACCCCGAATCAGTTATGGAAGCGATTGATGAAGCTCTCGCGACTAATGATAATCAAGTACCCCGTAAAAGTTCAACAACAAGAGAACTTTATGATGAAGATTTCGAATCCGAGAATGAGGAGCAAGTGTTTGAAGAAGATGAATATGAGTCAGATGGAGTTAAAATAGTGGAAGAACTTGAAGATTAGAAGAATATTTAAATGTATGAAAATGTGTGTTTTTATTATTATTAAACTTATTTTGGACTTGTAATATGATGGATTATGACTTCAATGTTTAAATACTAGTTATGACTTTTTGTATGGTTATTTGCTTATTTTATGACTTTTTGTATGGTTATTTGCTTATTTTATATTAACTTTTTATTAATAATTAATGGTCCCCGATTAATCTCCGTCGAGACCGATTAATCCCTTAACCCAGTCGACCGCAAGCTACCGTTGAGCGATTTTCTGCAACCTTGATATATATATATATATATATATATATATATATATATATATATATATATATATATATATATATATATATTGCCCTTGTTAAAAAAAATTGGTGAAACTCCTAGTCTGATCAATAGTCCAAAGTCCAAAATCGAAGTCCAACTAACAGCCCATTATTTGGTGAATCAAATAGCCAAGTAAATGAAGAAACTGATAGACGGTGGTAGTGTACAGTGTATACAAAACGTGTATAAAAACAACAAAGGGGAAAATGGTTCTTCTTTCTCCTACCTCAGGTTCACGATAAGTCGATAACACAACATGTTAGCTTCTTCTCCTACTTGCAAATTTCTCACAAACTAAGTTTCACACCTATTAACCCTTTGTCTCTCTTAAGACTTTGCTAGGCACTTGGCAGCTTTGTTAGGCTTCTCTTCCACTCTGATTTTGAATGCTTGAGTTTTGACTGTGAATCAATGGTTTTCTAATTTGATTGAATGTTGTGGTTAAATTATTATCTTTTAGAAATGAAAATTTGGGATGTTACAACCATAAAACATACCAATACGACATTAGAAAGTTGTTTATGACATGGAAGATGACACAAGCTACAATCACATAGCATATTACGAACCTCTAAACCTAATTTTTAGAGACTTACCTCAAAATTGGAGATCTAATACCATTTGGATGAATAAGAAAACACAAGTTAAGGCTACCTCTAAAATCTTCTTATAAAACTCTCTCACGCTTCTTTAAATCAAAATGGAAGAATAAGAGAAAACAAACATTTTTATACAGTTTTATTATGCTCATGACATGTCCTAACTTGTTGATTCCTAATCAAATTTAACCTCCATCGCAACTCTTCATAAGCCATGTACTTCAGTTTTTAAGCCATTTTCTTGACAAAAAACACCACTTATGGCGTCATGCCTTGTACTTCTCGGTCATTTGCCTGATCATTGTTGTTAAAATCCTAAGAAAGGATGAACTCGATCATTTTTCAGCCGACTTAAAAGAATACACAATAGAAGACAGTTGGTGATTGTCGAGGCCACCTAATAAAAAACCTAAGTACGACCACATACAAAAATGAATTGTAGTAGCGGTAATGGAGATCGAATCCACAGGGATTGGCTTAAATTAAATTATATGCATTCAGTATATACAAAACAAAATATAAAATAATAGGGTTCTTTTTTCAAAATGTTAATTGCGGTAAAAACTAATTTATAAAATGACTAAAATGCAAAATATAAAACCATAAAAAAACATTCCATTCTTAGGATAAGTTGAGGGTTCAATTAGTTGATTAATCATAATAATTTTATGGTGCAATAGATTTGATGGATTGTAATTTGACTATAGTAACCCAAGAAGACGCTTGAAATTACTTAAGAGTCTTCTTAATTAGTACAATGTTTAGAGAAGTTCATAACACATTTTTTAGTTAAAGTCATAAATCAATAAAACATGCAACTTATGAAAATCAACTAGCATTAAGATTTAAGAGCAACCAAATCCAAAAGGTAATCAGTATGCTTTAATTACCGTTACGGAGGAAATATTTTCATGATTTAAGTGAATTGAACACAAACACATAAACCATTTGTTGTTTGTTAATTTGAAGATCTATTACGTAATCAATAAATTAACCAACTAATTAAACATTCATATATTTAAACTCATGATTAAATACATAAACATATTACTCACACAAAATTACTCATAATCATTTAATGGTTTTATCCATTCATCCAACTTTAGAAATAAAATCTAACTACTCATAATAATAACAATAAAAAATAGAAAATTATATCAATACTGATTGTCTTGTCAAAAGGGAAACAATCAAAACTTCTTAAAATCATATTTTTATTGCTCAAAACTCTATCTCAAATCAAAATATTAATACAAAAACCTAATCTAATTAAAAAGACAAATAAAAACAGAAAAATATAGGGGAGACACAAGTGTCGTCCCCCATTTTTCTCCCTGCCGGCAAAATGAAAGCGATTGGAGATGCCCTACTCTATTGTTGGGAATATTAGAGTTTGTGGTGGAGATCTGGATACCGACTTGGATCGTGATATCACTTTCCGAACTGATATATCTACCCTATGCATGGGTTACAAGAAATTTAGCCTAGGATAATCCAAGTGGTCACTTACGATTCTAGGCACAGAAATCGTAAGCCAAAATGCTAGAGGATTCTGTGAAAGTATGATGAAAAACGAGAGCTTAAGATCGTAACCCTCTTCGGAAAAGAAGAGCCGTTTATATAATAAACGATATTAGGGTTTTATCAGGTTGGGCCGTCATTAGTTGCTTTGGAAGCAAGTAATATTAATCCGGATTTAATGAGGATTTACGGTTACCAAAACTAACGAGTTCCGTTAGTTTTACCATAAACACCCTCAAGAAATTGAATTTTCCACTATGTTCCCATATGTAAAATTCGGTGAGGTTTTGGGGCAGCGGGACCCCAGCCAGGGGCTCTGCCCCTTGGACCCCGCTAGGGGCGCTGCCCCTTTGGAAACCCCGGACCCGGGGGCGCTGCCCCCGAACCCCCGCCTAGTTGTCGAACCGGCTTCTAATTCGATATTATACATGCGTGCACTCCGCACAACCCCGTACATATAATAGAATACAAATTTTGAAGCCCCTTAGCTCACATGTTAGTTCCAGTTACTTAAAATGAAATGGTGACATTAAAATCACCAACATCTATTTCTTTTGATTGTTGGGTTTCTACCTCAGCCCCAAACAGGCAAACACACAAGACAATGGACTTAATTAAATTACTGCTAGGCTGCTGGAAAATACAATTGGGCTGATCTCAATTAAGAACGGGCTGTTATGATGGGCTGCCAAAAGCTAAGCTGGCAGCAATATGTCCTGATGTTCACGAGACCAAAAACCTCATCAAAAGTTGTCTAAATCAGCTCAATTTTTGTGGGATGGAAGATCGATGAGCTGGAAAGACGTTCGTAAAATTTCAGCTCAATCGGACAATGTTTGCCCTTCAGTCTGATTGTTTGAAGAAAGTCATGCAAAGCTGTCAAAAATCCAAAAATTAATTTATATCACTTTATTTTTTTCTTTTCACTCACGGATTTTGTCATGTGACTTCAATCGTGGTTGCAAGACATCCTATATGACTTGAACGATGCTCCAAAATACCATCTTGCTCGTTAAATCTACACAAAAGTAGCTTAAATGAGTAAAAATATCCAAAACAATAAATCTAATGATTTAATGCAGAAAAAATATTAAAAATGTTAAAGCTAAAATCAAATGCATATTAAAATATATACAAAAATCAAGCTATCATAGTGGACTAGTGGTACACTAAAAGCGTCTTTCAAGTCGGGTGAAAAGAAAGAAAGAAAAGGCTTTTGTTATTGTTTTATCGTTTTCACCTTCAACTACCCACAGGCAACCTATGTACACGTTAGTCCTCCGCATCTTTTTTCGGTAATTATCTAAATGTCTTTTGAGTATCATTGGCATAGTTGCTAACACTGAAACTACATTAGTTTTTGTTCAAGAGAGCAATACTCTTTATATTACTATGTTGCTAAGTTGGTTGGTTACTTGGTTATGCATATTCTCATGCGTTCCAAATTTCTCGAGAGCCATCTTCTTCTGCACCAAAACAATCATATTCAGAATCAAACATCTCACAACACAAAAACAATAAATATCAATCGAACAAGAAATACAAAAAAGAGACTCACTTACTTTTGAGCTCCAGACATATATTCCCATAAAACATAGACAAAATCTCAATAATCTGTATCTCAGATAAATGAAAGAAACTAAACCAACACCAAAAGAAACATCATATTCAACTGAAAATCATAATCCTAAATACATATAATTATCATGCATCACCATAAAAGAGTACCACAACTTGAATAAACCACGCTACCAAAAAAACGATACCCCAACGATATCAGATGTTGTCCTGGCTCATTGAGATCGACGTTTCAAGTGTCGTTCTAGATTTAAGTGGAATTTTAGAAGTAGATTTCACTGACCACACTTCCTTTAGAAAAGAGACTATCACTTACTTTATCGAATCATTTTTTTGTTGAATGTGTTTGATCTGGACAATTTCACTAACCACACTTCCAACATATCAACCGCTCCAAGGTCTCTTTCCAACACATCATAGTTTCCATATTCATATGAAGAATATGAAACTATTTTCCTTCAAAGACAATCAATTCAATTTTTTACTTTTTTGCCTTGATGCAACTATTCAATCTTTTTTTTTTGCAAAACTCCTTCATGAACATATACGAGAACATTCTTTGTGAGACACAGATGAATCATAATTACCGCACCACTGGAAATATGGCTAATTTCCCCGTCAACGTCTTATGTAACCCATATTGAATCTACACATCCTTGAATTGAACATGTCATAAACCAGAAAAATATATTTACATAATTACATTGAACATCAAGAAATTGAACTTTGTGTCGTATATGTATATCAAAACAAACATTAACACTAGAAAAATATGCATCAAACTTATATAATTAATACACCCAACAAATGATTTCCACAAACGAGAAAAACACATTTAAATTACTAAGTCTTTCCCAACTATAACCTTCCATAGGCATATACTACGCTTGACATGCATACAAAAGCGGTTTTTACTAGGTGTCCGGTGTGGCATCGGAACCACCTAGTTTCCATGTACGTGGTGATAATTTTTTCAAATTTTTTT